AGAGATCTATTTTACATACACACACATATATATATATTTAATATACACACACACACACACACAGTACTGTGTTTTCTAGTTATGACCAGGTGCTTTTTTGTTTGTTCTGCTTTTTGCCTTTAATTCGTATTCTGAATATTCTTCTATGTAATAGCATTGCTGGATTGCAGAGAAACAACTTTTAGCTTTATATATGTAAATTATCTTAGAAATCATGAATGTATAACGGTTCATTAAAAATACATAGGCCAAGATAATTTCAGTTCTGTTCATTCACAAATGATCTCTCATATTTTAGCAATGGAAAGGAAAAGCAATCATTGTGAGGGTAAAAGGGCAATCTTGGGTGCCACCTCAGTTCCTTGAAGGAAAAATAAGAATGATTAATTACATTCAATTAATTTTAACCTGCACAATTATTCATTTTAATTTTCCATTGTTTACAAGTGTAGTTCAACCCTATTTTGAATACGGGAACTGTTCTAGCTGACAAACTCAGAGATGGCCCAAGCAGGATCCCTCTCATCTCCTTTAATATTTCCTTTAAACTAGCCTGCTGCAAAAGGTCCAACTAGCTGGGGGCTGTAAGAAGTATTTTCCCCCTCCCTCTTGGGGGAATTAATAAGAAAAATGTCCAGTCTGTAATCTGAACAGATAAGAACTCCTTTGTTACTTGTGATAGAACACCAGTAACCATACTGATATACAGACAGTATCATGCAGAGTAACTATAAATAATGGTAAGCTATTGAACTCAGTGAGGTGAATCTCCTTGTGTCCTGCAGAGAAGGTCAGAGCTAGCAATCGGTACACAACAGAGTAACTTCATTAAATGTGCAGCTCCTTTCTAAGGCACAGTATGTATTTAAATAATCCAACTCTCCCCCCTCTCTTGCAAAAATGCTCACAGTAACAGCTATCTCTGCAACTTTCCTTTTTTTTTTGCAGCTGCTTAATTCTGGGTTGGATCTCTTCCCATCTGGCCCAACAAATCCAATTTGCTTCCTCCCCTCTCAGCTCTCCTACCAGTAGCCATTTTATTGCCCTTTATTTCTTAAGATCTTCAGTTTTTCTGAGGATCTTATTTCCTCTGCTTTTGACTTCTTCCAATTACAGACCTGTGCAACTAAATCCTTAGCACCCCAGTTATTTTTGTTACTTTTTTTTTTTTTTACCAATTTCCATCAACTTTAGTCCTTTTCCTTGTTTCTCAACTCTACTGCAAACAACGGGGTTGCACAGAATATAATTACAATGTGACTTCAGGCAGCTGTTTGGTGTATTGCAGATAGCAGGTCCCTTTCATTAGGGAAATATTTGGGAGGTAGCAGCTGAACAGGGAGACACTGTTGGTAGACAGCCACTATTGCTGGCAAGCCTGGTGGCAGTGGGTGGAAAGATCTCTGAAGAGCAATGAAAGTTGTAGTTCAGAAAACTCCACCAGTAAAAAAAGAAATTAAAAAAAAAAAAACCTGGTTTGGTCCAGGAGGAAAATGGCCCTTTCTTATGAAAGTAAAAATGGTTGGCATCATATAGGCAGTCATTATTCTTTGGATGGACAGCATCAGCAATGGCCAGTTTCTCTCTCTCTGTCTCTCAGCTAAGCAGTTAGCAGTATCATCACACAGTTTCTTTTTTCCAGGCAATATTTGTAATGGGTAAGGCTGGGGTTTTTCACAATTATCACTCTTTCTGGTCCAAGCATTATCAGTGGAGAGTCACAATAATCATCAGCTTCAGCTTCATAAGGTCATCCTACCCAGTCTTTCTCCTCTAGGTGGGCCACAACCATCTGGGGTCAAAACAGCCAGTTTTTCTTATCCAGATTGCCACAAGGACCCAACAACCAATCTCTGTATCTAACAAGATCCAACAATGAAGGTGTATCGTCCACATCTTTTTGAAGGAAGCAGAGAGCTACAGCACTCAGGATCACTTCCACTGTCTTCCACAGTGGGGCAGTTGAAAGCTGGAACATGTAAAGACAGAATGCTTCTCACTGACTTACAGGAGATATGCAGGAGTATGTTATAAAATAAAATCAAGAGAACAACTGTTGACAGAGTGACATACTTGTCATTGGTTTTCTTACTTACAGTTATCAGCAACATTTAAAGTATATAAAATAATTCATGGTATTGAACAATGTAAGACAGAATTTGGGATGGAATTGTGTACAAATGATGAACATGTAATTGCTAAAACGTATAAACTTTTATTGAAATTTGAAACAGAAGAACAGGTCAAAGAATGTATGATAAAGTGGGCTAAAAACTTTGGTTATAATATCCAAATGGAACAATGAGAAAATATCTGGTTGAAAGGATTGAAATTTACATTATGTAATAATCTGAAAGAGTATTTTTATAAAATGATGCACTGTTGGTATATGACACCGGGAAAATTAACTAAAATGTATAAAGGTACTTCAAATTTGTGTTGGAAATGTGAACAACAAGAAGGGTCATTTTATCATGCTTTGTGGACATGTAAAAAAGCTATAAAATTTTGGGCTCAGATACATACAGTGATTTAGAGGATTTTAAAGATTAATATTCAATTGAAACCAGAACTTTTCCTCCTGGGACTGATGGATAAGTTAGAAAAGAGCCGTGTTTTCTAAACAGTTAGAAAAGAGCCATGAAACACTGTTTTTATATATGATAACTGCAGCGAGATTATTGTATGCACAAAGATGGAAAGATTAAGCAATACCTACAATGGAGAAATGGTTGGTGAAGATGACAGAAGTTCCTGAAATGGCTAAATTGACTTGTTTCATTAAAGAAAAGACACTATCTACATGTATTGGTGACTGGAAATCCCTTATGGACTTTTTGCATAAAAAAGAAAAAAATGAACTTATGATTTATGTGTTTTGATAATTAGATAGGGTAGATTATAGAAAGAAGAGAACAACAATGTAACTTTAGAGAGAGAGGTTAAAATATAATTGTACCTATAACTGCTGTGAAGAAGTTTTTTCTTTTTCTCTGCTTTTCTTCTACTTTTTTTATTTTTGCACTTTTAGCTTTTTCTTTTATTTCTCCCTTTCTTTCTTCTTTTTCATTCTACTTTAGTTTGTATGAGTTCTTACTACTATTGTTAAAACTTTCAATAAAAATCATACACACACACACATGAGATATACAGGAGTATTGAATACATTTTCTAAGATGGACAGCACAGTAGTGGACAGATTTCTCACTGAGTAGGCAAAGAAGCAACTGAAGAATGTAGCAGTGAAGGGACAGACATTGACTTACCACAATTACTGCAGGATGGCCAGATAACTTAAAGGGATAAAATTATCAGATTTTAATACTGGAATATTGGCAACACTCCAGAAGAACAGAATGACGACTTGCTAGGCAAAGATCACAGAAAAAATAGCAGGCTTTGGTTAAGTAGAAGAAAAACAGGCATAGATCAAAGTCCTCCTGGAGGGTCTGGGACTACAGCTGTCCTTGAGTGCCAGATAACTGGAAGATCATGAAAGAGAGATCAGGTGGCAGCAGACAAAAGAAGGAAAAGCAGCAGTGGGCAAAGGTGAGTATTACCTAGCTTATATCAATGTTTTCATTTTATTTAAGTAGATATTTTACAGGACTTCCTTTTGTCAGGAGACTGAGTTTTCTCTTACTTATTCTCAAGTTCCTCTCAAGAAGCTGTGTCCAAAGGGTCTTTATAAAGCACTTCCACCCCATCACCCTTTTGACTCCCCAAGCCCTCCAAATGCTGAGAACCTGGAGAGAACATCATGAGCCAATCACTGTTTATCCTCCAACTGATTAATAGGAGAGTGCAAAAACATCATTCAATCAATGCCCTTTTCCCTAAGCCACCACAGACCCTGGTGTAATAAAAATCCCTTCACACTAGTCCACGCAAAAGGACATGAATAGTACTACCCTCCCTGCTCCCCAGCCATGTTGCTATGATGGGAAGCTATGAGATGATTAAAACAGAAACATCCACTCCAGTTTACCACCATTCGTTTGCTTCATTTAAACCTTCTGAAACTAAAATGACAGCTGAGCAACAGGTTTGCAGCCAGGCATTTGGGTATGCATATATGATAAACCCTAAAAAATGCAGACAGACTCCAAAGATCAGGAACTGGGTGATTGTCTGAGGCTAAAATTCCCACCAATGGGAATATGAATCACCCACAACTTCTGCAAAGTTGGAGCATTTCCCAGAGAATACCAGCTTTGCTCTGGTTTCAAATAAGCTACAGCAGAACCAGAATAGAAACCAGCCCAGCTCTCGAAACCAGTTGATATCATTCAGGCAGGGGATTCAGAGCTGATTGCCACAAATCCTTTATGTAAAAGTGGCCATATTGTTATATGGAAAAGTAAATGTCTTTGTACAATCATCCCCATAAGTATTTTTCATTTTGAGTATCTCTGGCACCTTTATAAACAGGAAAAAAAAAAAAAACTATGAGGATTAGGGTGAAACATGGCACGGTCTCATTCTTCATACAGCCTCCAGGTACTGATCAAGCCCAACATGACATTTTGATGCCTCAGGTGAAGGACAAGATGGCATTCCCTCAAATCCAGGTATTGAAGCTGGTTTGGTAGTTGTCTCTTATTTTAGTATTTTCAAGGGGATAGTGACTTTTACCATACCAGAGATTGCAAGCTGGTTTAGGACAGATTATGTGAAATAACTCTGTCTTTCAATGTCTTTCTGCGTCACTTGAGGTGGCTGCCTTTGTTTGCCTAATGGCAAAAGTTCTGGGGCTGGTCATGGTCTGAGGGAGGCTAGGGTCACATATCACAGTAAGTTATGATTTGTTACGTGGTTTGCTGCATGAGCCCCAATTGGCTGGGTTCACTTATGCTATACATAAATAATACATGCAAAGCACAATTGGATTTGTCCAATTTTGTAAGTCAAAACCAAACAATAGCATACTGTGATTTATAAATTCTGACAGAGATTAATATTGCTTTGCAATCAGCCAGGTGACCCCCAAAGCTAAGAATGGCTTTACTGTTATATCATTGGGTGGCTTTAACAAGCCAAGGGGGCCCTACCTAACTCTCGTAGCCATTGTGTGAGGCAGTTGATATCTGCTAAATGTTTTCATACAACAAAGTTAGTTTTGCTGCAGTTGGTGGGATTGTGGTTCTCTCCTTGATAGTTCCTTGATTGGGGTATTGTTTTCTGCTTAATTGTTTGTCTGGTGTTAATCCCAGCTTATCTGGGGGTTGGGCACTGGTCTTTTTTTGGTCTTTTTGTTTCCTTCTTAGCTTTTTGTTATCTCTTTTGAATGGTATGTAAATGTGGTTTATTTCTATGTGTCTATTAATGGCTGATTTGTCTGAATGCCAAGCTTCCAGGAATTTCCTAGTGTTTTTGGATTTGTCTTGGTCTAGGATGCTCACAGTTTCTCACAGTTGAAATTGTGACTGAGTCTGCCCATGTGTTGTGAGATTAAAGAGTTTTCATTGTGTCTTCTGACTATTACTTGGTGTTCCTGGATGCGCTCTGCTACTCTTCTGCCTGTCTGTCCTACATAGTGGCTGTTACAGACCTTACACTGTATGTCGTAGATTAATCTTGTTTTTTCTTCTTGGGCTACTGGGTCTTTTGGTTTACTTAAGATGTTTTGGAGAGCTTTAGTTGGTTTGTGTGCTACAGTGATGCCGTGTGGTTGTAATAGTCTGTTGGTTGTTTCTGAGATGTTTTCGATGTATGGTAGTGTTATCCTTTTCATAGCTTGTGTTGATTGTGCTGTGGTGAGTTGAGTGGTCAGGCACTTTTTGATAAAGTTGTGTGGGTATATCCATTTTGTTGGAAGATTTCATATAGGTGGTCTGTTTCTTTTACTGGTGTTCTGGGTTGCTGCAATGTGTTTGTGCTCATCTGAATAATGTTCTTACATAGCTCCTCTTGGTTGGGTTGTTACTTTGGTAATGGAGCATTAGGTCAGTGTGGGTTGTTTTTTGATAGACTTGTGTTTGTAATTTGCCGTTGTTTCCTCTGCTGATGAGGAAATCCAGGAAGGGTAGTGTGTTATTGTTTTCTTCTTCCCTTGTGAATTTTATTCCTTTGAAGATGTTGTTGATACTTTCATGTGTCTTCTCTAGAGTATGGAACTGGTATGTAGATTACTCCTTTGCCATAATAAAAAAGGAACAACAGCTGAAGCCACAGTGAGGGCAAAGGACATCATGAGTTGTAGCAGCTGGGAAAGACTTCATCAGGCATTTTTCTCTGCTTGAAAGAAGCAGAGTCAGAGATAGAGAAGTACAAGAGCTCAACCTTCTGGCTGCTGTGAGGAAAGAAATTAAAATGGAGAAGTCAGAAGAACCTGGAAAGAAAAGAAAAGAAGCAAAGAACATCAGACACAAATCTTCTGGAGAAGACCATAATAAGCATGGGAAAAATATAGATAGTGAAATGGAATTACTGAAATTATCTAAGAAAATGGGCATAAAAGCGGGATAATTGCTATAGTAATACAACATGGAAATATAAGATAACAGTGTGTATGTGTATATATATATATATATATATATATATGAGAAACTTATTTAAATATAAAATACATACTCAGCTGTAGAACAAGATTTGCACAGATTTTGATAGTGTAATTATAGGATACATAAATAAAAAGTAAGATTTATTGTCTGTTAGAAGCAAATATAGGTTGGTAAAATAAGCAGAAGTATACAGTTTTATTTATAAACGGTTTTTTATTTTGTGCAATATAATTTTCCCTTACTCTAGAGAGAAATAAAAGGAAAAGCAGTCAGTATTCAAGACTTGTCTCTTTGAATCTGCAGTTAATCCAATCCTTATTAGCTTCAATGAATCTATAACGTGGGCACTACACTTTAAAGATTTGGAGGCATTAGAACAGGTTCAAAGAAAGGCCACAAGGATGATCAAGGGGCCAGAAACACAAATCTTAAGAGAGATTGTAGTCTAGCCTTGAAAAGAAAAACTGAGAGGAGTGATCTCAGTTTTCAAATAATGCAATGGATATAACATAGAAGCCTGCCAAAACATCTTCTCATTCATTTCAGAGTGTAGGATTTGAGATAATGGATTTTAAGTTACAGGAAGGCCAATTCTGATTGAATGTCAGAAAAAATCTGCTAGCAGTGAGAGCAGTTGGATCTGTGTATAAAGAAGCAAGGCAGCCATCTATTTGAGATACTTTCATTTAGATTTCTGCCCTGAGCAGGGGGGTGTATTTGGTCTAAGTGGCCCTTTCCAACTCTGTGATAGCAGGAACTGAACACAGAAGCTTACATTGGAGGGTTTGTAGTATTCAGATGTTTAAGGACAATCTCTGAAATTTAAAGGCTGACACCAGTGGTATGACTACTCATAAAGATTCATTTATGTAAACAGCAAGTAAAAATGGGGTATATCAGGGTTGGTTTACTTTTGAATTAGCATGGCAGAACTAGTTATTGTGATTTGTAAGTAAATTTTATCTTAACAAAATGATTGAAGTACTCTAGTATTCAAACTAACGTACGGTAGGGTTACCAGGTAAAGGCTGTAAAAATTCAGGTGGAAGCAAAGTTAGATTTTATATGTAGTGATTTTCTATCATCTAGTTGTAATCTGAATTTTTGCATAGCAAATCTGGAAGTCCTATGCAATCTGAGAGCCTTGTCACTCTAGTTCTTTCTGTTCTAAGAGATGCTGTTCTGTTTTCACATTTTATTATAACAGTATGGCCACTAGGTGGCAGCCTTGGTCTAAAAACCAACAATACTATTTGGTTTGCTTCTAAGAATGCAGTTCTCCCCTCCATGCCTTTCCTATGGTTTCTCTGGAGAATTAACAATAATTGATTTTTACAAGTCTATACAAGCTAGTGGCCATATATTATCTAGCTTCTCCTCAGTCAGGGAAACATATGGTTATTTTCTGGATTGGCCCAAATGTTTGCTGTCTTTTGAAATAATTTCTGTGGCTATCCCATTTAACAGCAGGCTTCTTTGAAAATGATCCTCTTTAAGGCCATAACTTCACTGGTTGATTTTTGGATGTCATTTGTTCCAGGTGTAGGAAAGCCTAGGCCAGAGCAGCAGCCTCTAACGGTATGTGGGAGTGACCTTGGGAGACAGGTGGAAGAGCTGCAGACTAGACAACAGTCTGATAAACAAAATCTGAGTCTGCAGAAGGAACGTGAGTGTGGCAAACATCTCAGAAAGGACTGTAAAGATGAGGGGGGAGAGAAGTACTTTCAGAGTTCCAAGATTAATGTCAGCCTTGTGAGGTAGTCCAGACAGGAAGCGCACCCAGAAGTACTAGCTCTACTTTATTGTAAGGTTACATTAACAGAATCTTGCAAGTCTGAAAGTACATCTCTTCCCCTCACCCAGTCGTTGTAACCCCAGGACTACCTGTAATGGTTTACTATAGGCAAAATTGCAAACAAAAATGCTTAAGTTTGGAGAAATCGGTACCAGAATGCATGCAAATTTTAGTGCAATATTAAAATAACATTTCAAAGTTAAAAAAAACCAAACTTGTCATATTTGCAAAAATGAGAAATTGAAAGATACTGGTACTGATGGATTCACTAATCTCTAATTAGAGATTAGAAAGCATGTTTAAACCACACTTGTATTGGTGCCTTTATTGAGGTTTTTGGTATGTAACTTGCTCTTTACAGAAGAAGTCGTTTCCTTTCATACCAACTAATCTGAATGACTGAATGGAAATGTAACAGTTTACTTATGAGACTGTAAAATGAGATTACCCACAATCTGGAAAAATGACAGATGAATGGAGCAATTTCTCAGGGTGAAAGGACTTGAAAAAAGACTGAAGGAGAAGAAGGAGGGAATGGAAAGCCTACATGAGTGGGTATTCTGAGGATGTTAAAAAGCAATGACAACCTCAAAACTTTGCTAGCCTTTCTTTCAGGGAAAAAAAAGACCTAGCAGAAGGCCAGGTCCTCCTCCTCTGAATCTTCCATACACCAACATGGAGAAAAGGCCCACAGTTTAACACTGCCTGACCAATATCCTGCCGCACCATAAGTTTTCAACTATTTTTTCAGTGAATTCATGTGCAAAAGACAAAACAACCTAGAATATATTATGACTTATTTTCTGTTTTCCCCACAGTTTTTGTTTTTGCTTACTGTTTACTGTTTTATTTTTTTAAAAAACAATAACCTTGCCATAAAGAAAGAAATAATTTGATTTTGGGAGGAAGAAGGTTCTCAAGATGGGAATATGAAAGTGTTGACTGTGAATTTGCCCATGTTGTCCTTGTTAATCTCAATTGCATCTCAAACGTCTGACAACTGATGTCCATCAGCGAGCCAGTCATGATCCATCCATCAATTGATTCCTAGTACTGATCAAAAGTCCTTTTGGCTAACTATTTCAAACTCAATCTCTTATGCACATGCATATATTTAGCTTGGCTGCCTGCCAGCCATGAATGGTCTACTTAATACTTCCAAATTGTTGTCTGTTTCCTGCAGTTTCCTCCCCTCAATAGGTGATTCTGTGTGCAAAAACAGGGGATTTGCAGGAAAGCTTGCTTCTTTAAATAAACCACCTTTGGAAGAGCA